AAATTTACAAAATGGGTTGTATTTATTAGTCAGAAGTATTGAGTTGATGGGATTAGAGTAATATTTATTGTTTCGTTAAAATCCCCAGATGGATCCTTTGAGTTGTTTAGAGTCTTTAACCTCCCTGTATATGATCAGAAATTAAGGGCATATGTAAGTTTCCATAGTCTGTCCCCATATCTAAGCTATTACACCGGATCGACAGCGGTATGCCACTCTGAGCGGGGAACAACTCCAGCTCTGTACCCAGGGACAACAGGCACTGTGTCAACCACTATTCCCAGTGTACCTACGTGTGAATCCAGCTGTGAAGCTCAACTGCTAGCCGAGCGGGGAACAATGATCCCAGGAGTCTGTCAGAGGAGGGTGCATCACGGACCAATGGGCACTGTGTTTCACCAGGTGCCGTCGCAAGGGCTGTGGGTGTACAGCACAACAACAGCAATAACATTGACTTTTGAATGCAGAAATGAAGTGAGGCAAACAACGATCAGAATTCAAGAATTTCCTAAAATGGATGAATTATGAACATGCATTATTATGAAATCCAAGAATCATGAAAATTTCAAGAAAGTGGGGAGCTGGCACAGTAATCATTTTGTGCGTCGTCGCTTGTTTGACCTGCTACTGTCAAAAGCCATTGGGAAAGGTCGTCCAGCTATTTTGGGTGATCAGCCACTGTCAAGGAGCCCAGACGGGACCACCATCATCAACTGTAGACAGCGAGGTGCCTAGCCCGACTCCAACCATGTACCGGAGAGCAATCATTCCAAGTGCAGGGGTCCGATGGAGCAGCCACGCAGGAATCAATCTCATATCCACCCTCGACCGTTCACAAGCAGCAGAAGTCCACCTGGCGGAGTCCTCAGCTCAAGAAGAAACCAATTTGTAACCCCAGAAGTATCGCCAAATCAGTGAATTCGTGTGAAAGTGCAAGTGTAGTGAGTGAAGGGCATTATTTGTGTTATTTTGCGTGCATTATGGTATTGTAGTATTTAAGTAATGTATTATGTTGTAGCCGCAGCAAAATGGTAAGCACTAAGATCAGTGCTAAACGCGTTAATGTTGACGCGGGTGCGGTACATACGTGTGGTATGTACGCGTACCGGGTTCGCTAAGTGTACATATAGCATGTGCATTTACCGAATCCCAGTTAATAAATATGAAGTAATGCTGCGGTGATATGAGAAATGTATTGATGTTGGCATTAATAGTCAATTGATGATGACGGCGGGTCTCTAAGCATGTGTCTTTCCGAATCTATTGAAATTCATTGTAATTAAAATTCAAAATTGTCACGTAATAGCCACATGCCATTCGAGGCGTTAAGAGCCACCCCAGTGACCGGACAGGCCCTAAAAGATTGCCTGTTCGTTTTGGGTAACCGCACCCTGCCAATTGAGGCTCAAGCGGTCCCTTAGTCATGTTATACCGTCCTCAGGGTTATTTGTCCTTTTGTCTACCTCAGGTTGTAAGCAGTATTAATGCAACGGGTTGTGTGTTCCTTAAGTGTTTAAGTGAAGGTTGTATTATTTAGAATTTAAGTTTGAGGGTGCTATCTTAGATATTTTGGTGTTTATGAATTAATTGTGGAATGTTAAATGTGTAATGAAGTATATATAGTGTAAAAAAAAAAAAGTGTTAAAATAGGCAAAATGTCTGTATGAATGGATTATGGAGTGTGAATGCATAACGTTAGGATGTTCCATTAACTGTGGATATACCCTTTGTTGTTAATTGGTAGTTTATTTATTTTGTGAACAGCCATTAAGCACAATTCGGGAATCACGTGGTAATTGGTTTAGTCACACATTAATGTGGATACGTCAAGGGATTGTCACAATTGGGCAAAAGTAAGCATTTACACATGGTGACAGTACTACGGAGACAGCTGTAGTCTGCGGGGTGAGTGGAGGTTTTTACCCCCTCGCCATTGTTGGTCATTCATTAAATGGACCTGGTATGCAGAAGTGTTATCTTTGAAGGCCAGTAGTGTGGTCTGTGCCAAACAGCTGTTGTCGCCAATACAGATAACAGAACTCCAACTCCAGGATTGTTTATTTACTTGTCCTTGAGGCAAATATTTCAGATAACTAGTTGCCCACAACATTCCTGATTGTGTCTGATGGTGTGAACATAGTCAACGTAGCCAGTGACGGCTGCTGTATGAGTTTTGATACATAAAGATAGTTAAAATCAATTTCAAATATGCATAAAGGTAGTCGGGGTATAGAAGCAGAAAGTGGTGTTAAATTTTGGAAATATGAAATGTCTCGCCAAAGATATAATGATATGATGTAATAAGTAGGGTAGTTGTTTGGTGTGTGTGTGTGTAAAAGTATAAGGTATATATATATGAAAGGAAAGAATATAGATATAAAATAAAAAAAAAAAAAATAAAAATAGTAAAAGTATAAAATAAAATAAAAATATTTGTGGTAACATTGATGGGTTGTGTTGTTTGAATTAATCAATTATAGTCTTGCGTTTACTTTGTGATTTAAATTGATGTATTGTATTTCTTTGTGTTTATTTTGGGAGTTTGATTTAATAGAGATGGAGTATTGGCTAATTAGTCAGGGTGTATTGTAGTTCAGATAGGGATGCGCTATGTTAAGCGGGGAAGAGAAGAGATGCATTTTGTAGATGGAAAAGTTTATTAGTGTGTTATAGTGTGTTAACTGGTATTCGTATTGTTTTATGTTAAAAAAATATATTGCATTTTGCTTAATCATTTGCCAATTTTAATAACATAATTAATAACATTGTCGTGTGGTTTATTGTGTATATGTTAGGATGTTTAGGTAATATTTAGCAGAGATAGTCGCTTATGAGATCAAGCAAAGTATTAATTATTTCTATTTGATCATATTGGATTGGACAATTTAAATTTAAAGAGCACATGTAGCATCATGTAGCAGAGATAGTCGCTTATGAGATCAAGCAAAGTATTAATTATTTCTATTTGATCATATTGGATTGGACAATTTAAATTTAAATCAAAATTATGATTCATCATTTCACTGTGCATACAGTCATAGATGTCCAACTGTTTCACTGAGGCGGCGTGTGCCACCGCAGGCGTTATCACTGCGGGAAGCCGGTCAATGATAAGCCTGTATCTCTGTTGTGACTTTGTTGTTGTAATTTCGTATCAAATATGAATATACTTTAACCATAGAATATTTTAGATATTTGTTTTGACATTGCTATGGTGTAGCTTTAATGCTTAGACAAGCAGAGAATTCCCCTTAGAGTATCTCCTATAATTGTAAGGGCCAAGGATCATTTAACATAAACAAAACACATAGTTCTTTCAAAATTCTTTATTTTTGGTAAAAGTTAGACCACTTGAGTGTGGTCTCACTTTTAGAAAGAAGGGGCGAATGTTGTGTATTCACATGGGTTAATTTATTAGTTTACAGTTTGATTCCGTTTATATTTGGAGCAGGGAGCTCAGCCAAAAGTAGTTTTTAACTTTGAGATTTTGCAACATTATATCCAGTACCAAATGTGGTTTGAGGTAATTCTGGAAACCAGCATTTGCGTCACAACCCCCACCACCTTGAGGTTAGATATGGTCGGTCCTTGTGAACCACCAACTTACAGTCAGAGTCAGCCTAGGCGCGGCCACTAGCTGGTCATGATTCTCCCGCTGATATTAGCAGGTATGTGGTGATAGGCTAATAGGAGATTTACATTGCCCGACCCTTGGTTCAGTAGTAGGTAGCCCTCTCTCTAAATTCTACCCTTTTAATAATGGGGATTCTCTGTGATATTAGCGTAGTCATGTATTAGTAAGATATTATAACTTGTATTTTATTGCTTATCCGCTTAATAAATGAACCCAATTAACATCACGCCCGAGTATTTATTCTGGACACCCCACCCACTAGCGGATACAACAGTAAGCTTGGCTGGCAGAGCCAAATCTTCCATATGGTGGACAAGGCCTCGAAGATGAATTCTTCCTTTAGTCGGAAAATGCCCGATGTCGGAGGTCCAGTCATAGAAGGCTGTTGATGTTTGCAGTTCAGTCTGTATTCCTGTACAGTGTGGAAGTGTGGGCAGACGTGCCAAATAAGGAGGCAAACAGGATGTGGCTCACCCATAAGCAGAATCAGCCAGTTTTCAGGATAGCATCCGCCTATAGCAAACTGTGTCCAATCCCGCCTCCATGGTGGTCGCTATAGACTAGAGTCATCCCCATTAAACTTTTGGAGCTGGAGAGGAATGAGGAAGGAAATTTACTAGAGGAATGAGGAAAATCAGGCAAGTACAGAGGAGCAAACCAATGCCTACCCGCTCTGGCAGAAGAGCTGGGAATAGGGAACAAGGGAATGCTATACCGAGCGGTTTATTAAGCAGATCCAGTCTTGGGTTGATCAGCGATTCGAAGAGGTAGATTATTACCTCACCCAGTAATAAAAAAAAACAAAAACCTAATTTTGCTTTTTGTTGTTAAATAGTGCTGACAGGTCTGTTCCAGTAGTAGGCGTAATCATATTTTTTACTAACATGTAGATGTCACGACAATTTTTCAAGCTGTACCTCTTTAGGATGGAAAAAGGTGTGTTACCTGTTTGTATCTACCACCCGGGCACTCCTGGCGACGCAGAACACCTTTTCTTCCCTGCCTGCATTGAGAAAAACACCACTTGCAGATTCAACACCGTGTAAGACTGCTGTCTCAATTATGACGGAGAGTAAAGACTATTGGAACTGTGGGTGACAGTTTGTGAGAGTTTTCTTCGAGCCAAGAATCTCGACCTGGATTGTAAAACCGGTCTAGGTCATAAAAGAACTGAATGCCAGAGATGGTGTGAGCCCTGGGTGCAATATATGATGAATTTTGACATGACCTGAAGAAATGTGGAAAACAATTCCAGGTCTGTGACCAACAAAGTAGAGGAGTTTTTTAGTATGGTATGGTATGTAAACAAAACAATAAATTTGTGATTTTTTAAATTTGATCATGGATTTAAATTACAATTACTGACCCTGTTAGCCTTCGTATTGGGGGTGAGAGGCTTGATTATAAGGGTTTTCCCGCTAGAGAGCAGCACCTGTTGACAATCAGGGCTCCAGGCAGCACTGTAGACTGGTGTATTGGTCTGCATCACTGTAGACCTCAACATGCCACTACGAGACCATATCTTCACTTGACCATCCTCTCCACCTGTTACATATGTACAATTCTGCAATTAGAACTAATTGCAACACGTTACGCACAGAGGAACGCAATTAGAACCAAACACATGTGTGGCATACAACACCTTCAACAGAAGTTGGTTTATGGAGCCAATGCACAAGATCAACTTACTGTCTAGCACCAAATAAAATCATCGACTCAGTACGTTGACAGTCCACTATTGACTCTATATACTCAATGCTATTGGGCAGGACTTCAGTTTGAACTCAGTTCCAATTTAAATAGAATAGTTTTATTTTTCAAAATTGTTTAACTAATAAAAAGGATTTGTCAAAATTAACCGTTGTACACAGCAGCATAATGTCGAGTGTAAATATATAGACGATAGTGTTAGGGATAAGAAGCTAAAGCATACACTCTTAAGATGCCACACAAGCTAGCATAATGTGCAGAGGGTGATACTTAAACATCTTGCTCAAGAACACAAACAACAACAACAAAAAAGTAATCCTACACTATACTACTAATATTATTGCAAAAATCAACAGGGTGCAGCACTATTTATTTTTTTTTTTCATTTATGACAATATCTAATTTGATCCACCTAGCGACAAAACCTGTGAAAAATGAGAATTCCACATTTTTTCATTGTTTAGGTGCAGTGGTTAGAACATTATGGCTATGGTAGATGTGCTATACTATAGCATACCATAAATTATAAGAATCAAATTTTATTAAACCATGTCCTCTCCCATTGCAAACGCAAAGCACAAGGTATAACTGCAAAAAGCATTTTATACTTATACGCCAACCCCGTACAAAGGACGGGTACTCTAACTCTGCTAGTCTAATATAACTACAGCTGTTTCAATCTGCTGGAATAAAAGCATATCTTCAAGTTAAAATGTCTAGCTAATAATCCCTGATGGTGGAGTTCGTCAGGAGATTTACTCTACACAAAAAACAACACATGATACAATAAACACACACAAATCAATAACTTTTACCAAACCCAATGAAAACAAGTCCTTTAAGAAGCGCAATGCCTTTGTAAAATGATCAGTCCCTGGAAATATTTGAACTTTCGATGGTTCCTGCGGCAGCCGCTAGGTAGAATATTGCGAGCATGCGGCCAAGTCAGCTGACTAAGTGAGAGGGAGTGAGTCAAAGAATCGGCTTAAAAAGAAAGAGAGAGAGAGATAGAGTAGCGCGGCCACAGTACGAACGATCGTAGCGGCGGCTTCACGTAGCTCATTTTGGCGGCAAAGTTCCAGTCTGACTATTCTTCATAAGCATTTTGCTTCTTAAAGGGTTTATATTCATTTACAGGGCACCAGTAGAAGGAAAGTGGCCTTAATTTTGTAAGATGAAAAACATGTTTTAGGTTAAATTAGGTACTTTTTTGAAAGTTTACTAAGGTTAATAGAAAAATTTTTGTTTTGTATAATAACATCAAGAACTTTGTTATTACCAGTAAGCAGTCCTGTGCCATCGTAGCTCCATCGCCCCACTAGTGCCGCACCTTTGTGAGCTTCTACACTCTTCTCAATGCGGCCATTACGTCCAACTAAATGAAACCTTCCTGGAAATATGGCGCTAAGTTGAACTATAAGCTCTATTCCATTGAAGAAAATATTAAATGCTAGTTTATGCATGCTTCACAACAAGATGAGGACATAGAAGAGTGGTTTTTTACACCAATCTGTAAAAAAACAGCCATACCGGTACACCATTTTGACCATAAGAACAAAACTCAAACTGAACCATAATGTAGGCCTACCAATGATATGATGACTAAATTTAGTTACCGTACCAACATTCTCTTTACTTTAGGTTACCTGTAGTGAGATTGATCAATATTTACTTTCACAAGCTCCACTTTAAAACTTTGGATGTCCATGGATGTAGTCCGAGAGGGTTTTAAGAGGAACAATAGGCCAATAGGGTTGCCTTTTGACACTTAGTACACACACATGGTATTCTACATTGAAATCTAGCTAGCTATAGGTGTAGAGTAGAGATTTAAACCTATATATTTCAGGGGTGTAGTCGTATATTTTTCAGTGTGAAAATGCTCATCGTCGTCGCTGAAAAATACTAACCATAATATCCAATATAATAATATTTGTATGTACTTAGGAAAAAGCGGAGTGGGAACGCCGTTCCCATGTGTTACTCACCATCAGTGGATGTAATAAGGAAAAGTTCCTGACCATGGCGTTTTCCGCTTGATTGGCTCTTTGAAAAGGAATGGAGATCTGTTGGATAGATATCTGCTGGCAGCTCACATATTTTAGAAGCTTCACCAGTTATCAGGTTATACTTGAATAATACATGATCATCCCTGGACAAAATAAACATAAATATGTATGCTTTCAACTGATTAGAAAATTTATATTAAATTTAAAAGTTTAGAACATGGCACCGATTGTCTTCTAAAGCTTTAAAACTCTTGACCGGATGAGAGGTTAAAGGGTTCGTATTCAGATTCATTGTAATAGGAAAGTTAAAATTTTGAAGATATTTAAGGTTAGATTCTTGTCTTAGTTGCCATTTCTCATTAATTTGTCTATCATTTCCTGATGCTTTCAAGAAAAATTGAAGGATTGGGAAAACAGTGTGTAGGATTGAAAATATGATTCAAAAGAAAATTAAGTAGAATTTTAAAACACAAAGATCGATTGAAGAAAACAGTTCAAACAAATATATTTGCATCCCATACAAGACAGTAAAAAACAAAGCAACAAGATAACATTTCAAAATTCAAATTTGAAAAATAAGTCCTGTTCATGTCGCCCATAAGGACATTTAAACAGATCAGGCATTTATCAAATAGAATGTTCAGACTGTGATACACCTACATTGGCCAAACAAGTCTTAACTTCAAGAAAGGGTTCCAGGAACACATATACCCCCCCCCCCCCAGCAAACCTGCAGACTAAGCGAATTTCCATTTGCCTGGGATTTGATTTTCAATTAAATCTATTTCAATTACATTAGGTTTAACGACAGGGGCAATAAAGTGTGTTTTTTTTTATTTTGTAAAAAATTAATAGCTTAGTAAAAAATTAATAGCTTAGTAAAAAATTAATATATTTGCCAAGTTTGATCTAAACATATCCTTTAAGCAAACTACAACAGTTAACTTATTCTCCATAAAAATAACATGGAAATTTTAAATTTTACTATTTTTTGTGGTTTCTCTCTAACCAATAACCGTACAAAAAGACTAAAAAAATATACTAAATTATTTGTTTTTTTAAGCTCTTCAAAATGGTCTAGAGAGAAATTAAGAAATTTTATGTTTTAGGGTCAAAAACGAGAAAATCCAATTTTTGCTTGATTGTGCTAACGGACACATAAGTTATATATGATAAATATATATCTCTATATATAAATGTGAAATTCCGATCAACGCACACGCCAAACCATAGCACCCAGAAGCATGAGATTTTGCATATACATATTCCTATCATAGCGTAGGCAGACAATAAAAAGCGATTTTACAAAATTCCCAATGGGCCCTGCTCCACAGAAGGTCAAAGTTAGCATGGAGTTTGTATAGGAAGAATAATTTGTTTTGGGTTTTTGTTTACATTTGTCTGAGTTTGCATTTATTTAATCATCAGCTGTTAGAATAACAATTAAGTTTACTAAGGCTAATTTCGGACCATATAAACAACATAGTGTGTCATTGAAATTAACCTAATTTATTGTGGCTTTTTAGTTTTATCATTGACTATTGGTTTATCAACTTCTAATATGAGTGATTAGTGTTGAAGAAAGTATAGAACTGAAACTAGTTTTTATTGCATTTTAATTGTTAAGAACTTATGATATAGTTCTGTAAATATTTGTGTAGTTGTTTTTGAAACCGTTTCTTAGTATGGACACTGAGGTTTTAAATTTTATGGCGAGCTCGTTCCACACATGTCATTGAGTTCGCAAATACCATTCAAAACAGAGGAGATGGTGTGTGTTTATTTACTTCACTCTCATTCATAATTCACCTTACACACATACACACACTAACTGCGGAATCTCAACAAAATACATCAAGGCGTAAACGGCACAGCAGGTGCACAGACAAACAAAGGAAAAGCAGGTGAAGAACACAGGCAAAAAGTATGAATAAACTCATCTTGAAAGACATTCACCAAAGATTCAATGGATGGTGAAAAATCTATCAGCAATGAAATATAATCCGAAAATAGACTATGAAGGAGATAGCTCGGTGGCCATAGGGACCATAGCGTTCAAAATGTAAGAACTGCGAGGCCTTAAAATGGAAATAAGAATTACCGGGAATGTGGGTGGTAAAGTACAGGTACCCTACTGCCTTTTAACTTATAATTACTAGCCTACTAATCTTTTTTCAATTTTTAAAAATTTCAACCAATTTGAATGTTTCCGTAGCGAAGCGCGGGTATACGGCTGGTATGAATTTGAATAGATGGTGTTTTTGGCCTCTATGGACCTCAATACGAAAAAGTAAATCGGTCCTAGGTATGCTGCTAAAGGAGGCTAATAAAGTGTGTTTTAGCGAATTTCCCTATAGGGAAATAGCTGTAGGTGGCACGGTAAGACCTAGGCCTGGGAACAAATTGACTTTTCCATTTTGATGTTCCAAGGGGCCAAAAACACAATTTGTTCAAATTTTCCTAAATATACGTCTATGAACGCGATAACATTAGAGTAATTTTTGTCCGTTTTTTATGAAATTTGGTTTAAAGGTGTGTAAGGCGGGATAAACTTGAACGAGTTTGCGAACCAGTATGATTGGACCATGGGAACAGGGTTTTATGGGGTAAAAAATGTGTTTTCTCATTTTTTACCCTCACACGACACACGATTATTTGTAACGGAGAAAATTCAAAAAATTTTAAATTCCCATGTTTTTTTTAGAATATTGTAAAATAATGTTGTAAGTTGGTTTGCTTGTTTATGGATATTTTTTATTAAACTTGGCAAATTTATTTATTTTATACTAAGCTATTAACATTTTACTAAAAAACACACTTTATTAGTTTCCTTGTAGCAGCAAACCTCGGTACTCGTTAAACCTAATGTTATTTAAATAGCTTAGTTGAAAATAAATTCATACAAATGGAAATTCACTTAGTCGGCAGGTTTGCTGCGGCAGGGATGTGACATCAAAATGAAAAAGTAAATCGGTCCTGGGCCTAGGTCTTACCCTGCCACCTAGGTAGGTACCTAGCCCTACCACCTAGGGAAGTAGCTATTAGGCCTAGGCCTACCGTAAAATAAGTACGGTAAGTTAGCAAAATTCGCTATAAAACAGCTTTAAAAACTTTATTAAGTTACCTAAAACTTTGATATCAGACTCTATAGTACCTATTGTAGATTGTTACATTTGATCACATATTAAAGAGTGGTCTAAGTTACTCATTAATGAAATGAAATGAAAAATCCTTTATTTTTTCAGGCAAATGTAAGGGCCACATGGCCCTTTCTTACACTTAACCTGACATTACAAATATAACAAAAATTAATCTATCGATATTTGATATGGAAAGTTTGGGTTTTGGTCACTGTAGCCCTATAAGTCTGGTTATGTATTGATCTTATTGATATTGTTCAATTCAAAATTAGGCAGATGTAAACAACTTTCACCACTTTGTTTTATCTAACTTATTTATAAAAATAGTAGGTACATTATCATGTTGTGGGCTTTGAAAACTCCTTTGTATCAATTTAACTTGTAAGTCTTTAGCCTCTTAGGCTCAAAAACTGGATTAAGTTAGGCCTACTTAATAACTTTTAATTTTATTGGAACTTACCCACAAGAAATTATTTCTTCAGGGGTATTCCAGCAAACGCAACTAACTACGTCTTTATGATCCACTTCTTTGGCAAATGATATTTTAAATCTCATTTTAACCAAAGACAGCCCACACCATATACCACGATGTTTACATTGTCAGATTGGTTACCAGGCAACCAAGCCGGTTCAAATCCTGTTATTCCTCTGTGTGTCTCCTTTTTTTTTTAAGGTGGCCGTGGCCGACGGCCGTGTCCATATTCATTGGTACGTAGTACAAGGAGTAACGATTTTCTTAGTTTCTTTTCTTCTGTGGACCAAGACATGTGATCATTCTAATCCCTTTTCTTTTTTTTCTCTGAGATATGGATGGATTTTATAATTTAACCTCAACTCAACTCAACTCAATGAGACGAATTATTTTATGCATGGTATGTCGTAAGTTGCTTGAAACCGGTACCTAAACAAAAAGTTTGTTTATTTAAGTAAGAAGCAGTGTGTTACAGAGTATGCAACTATCAAAATTACCTACCACTGTGAAAATTGGAATTGGTTGGTAAGCTAAGTATTTTCTAGGTAGTGTTTGACTGACAAGGCTGGCTAGCTTAGGCTAACTTACTGACTGGAATGCCTATAAGATAGGGATTTCTTTTCTTTTCATTTATTTGGCCAGATTTACATTAATGGGCTGCACTTTACTTTAGGTCCTACACTCATTCGAATGAAAATATCAATTGAAATATCGATTAATCGAATGTTTCATTCGATATATCGTTTGGTTATCGTAAGGCTAACCTAACCTAACTAACCTAATGATAGGCCTATATCGAACGAAACAATCAAGAAATCAATATTTTCATTCGAATGAGTGTAGGACCTAACAGCCCATTAATGCATTGGCTAAGTCAATATAGGCTAGGCCTACATTTAACCCTCCGAAGGTCACGCTTCTAAAAATAGACGCACAACACACTTTGTGTAGTGTCACGCGTCTATTTTTAGACGCACAAACATCGTTTACGGCGAAGGCTCTATGACTGACTGAATCGGATTGAACTGGATCGAGTTAGGTATCGTTCTTTTCATTAGATTCTAAGCTTTCTAAAGGTCTGTTTCTAAGCGCTGTTTGTTCTCTGAGCCGATCGTAATTTTGTAGCAGACAGCTGACGTGCATATTAGTAAACAGTAAACAGGTAAACTCGGACCGATGACTGATGTGTTTTATTATGTTTATCATTGTTTTAGTGTTAAAAATCAAAAGTAGTGATATACGTGGTGCATTATAAGAAGATTTAAGTGGTTTTGAAGTGCTGGTTGATGATCCTGAAGAAGTAGGTAGTGATATTGATGTAAATTATCAGCCAGATTCCTAGCTATGGTTAGGCTATGCATTCTTAGCTAAACGCTATGTACTGAAATCCGTTTTTCGCTCACTTATTTATCAACTTATTTATTTGATAACTTACCTCGCTATATGATTATATATTTGTAATCCTCATTAAATTTAGAACAAAGTGGCTATTTTCAAATATTTATAGGCCTATAATTTATACAATTTCATTGAGCGCGAACTTATTTTTTTTTTTTTGAAAATTTTCGAAATTATATTTTTTTTACCTAAAAATTTTTTTTTGAAAAAATGTTCCTTATGTTTTATATATAATATTGAAGCCCATGATTTTCCAAACAAAATGGTATAGGTATAGAACATTAGAATTAACATTGTTTAAGCTTCTCAGATCCGTTTTAATAAAACCTTGCAAATGCGCCAAAAATAGGTGGACATTAAGGCCTAAACTAACCTTTGGACCTGGACCTTTGGAGGGTTAAAAAAGGCTGCACTTTACTTTAGGTCCTACACTCATTCGAATGAAAATATCGTTTGTTCAATTGTTTCATTCGATATATCGTTTGGTATTTATTCCGTATAGGTGCCTCCAAACGAATTTTTAATTTTGATATCTTACTTTAGGCCTATAGTTTTTTACCTCCTGAATCCAAATAGGCTATACCATTATTTTTCACCGCTGATGAATATTTCTCAAGATATCGTCGTAAAAACATACTTAACATTACAATAAACAAGATAGGATGGATAACATTTCAAGTGATTCTGTAGTCAAATAACTTAATGTTCTCTATAATAGGAATTTCCTCACATTATTGAGATATAGATGGACTGGTGGACTAATTAAGTTACATGTAACTTAGGCCTAGTTCTTATTTAGGCATGTCAGGGTGGTAGGTCGCGTGCTGTAGGCCTATGTGAATTGGTGGCTGCATTAAGTGTTTTGAAGTTAGGTTAGATTAGGAAGGTAAAGGGCTGCACTTTACTTGACGTCCTACACTCATTCGATTGGTTTTTTTAACTAACCAAACGATATATCGAATGAAGCAATCGATTAATCGATATATCGATCGATATTTTCATTCGAATGAGTGTAGGACGTCAAGTAAAGTGCAGCCAGTTAAAGTTTAGGTTATAATGTATCGAGTTGTTAGTTTATGTTGCCTGCAGACTGTTTTTGTAAAATTAAAATCCTGAGAAAAACACTTCAAATTATTTTTTCAAAAATGCTTGCATTTTTTAAATAGTAGGCCTACGAATGTAGGAATAATGTATACATGAACAAATTATCTCCATAGAATAAAGCAGCTTATAAGGTTATCAGCATTGCGCAGTTCGTACATTATTAATTTTTCAAATGAAACTGGAGTTAATATGAAACATTCATTTGGTTAAAAGTAATAAATGGGTTTTATTAATAAATATTGTATTTATAAATAGTTTATACAGGCCAACTATTAGTTCTATTTCGTATAAAAAAAACAAGCTGCCCCTAGGCCTAAATAAAAACAAAGATAAACAGTATTTGTTAATTATTATGTCTGTTATTGCTGACAATATTCCCGTGGCGGAGCACGGGCGTTTAACTAGTTGGCAATTAATTAACAGCTGTGTCTAAGGAATAGTCGGCCTTAGTCCCTTTCAAAACTAAAAGGTTGGGCCACTCATCCTACACTCATCTCCATTAATTCTTGGCTTAAAATACCTACATTGGTATGGTCACCATTTCAAAATAAAGTATTAAAGTATTAATTTATTAGGTTAGTTTAACCTTTGGTTATAAATGAACTCATACACTAAAAGTTGGTTGATTTAATAGGTTGACGTTGACATACTTTTATCACAGGCTAAAATAGCCTATTTCATTTTTTAATTTTATCTTTGTATGGATTTCATGTGTTTAACTTAAAACAAATGTCTTTAGTATTGGTTAATTGTGAGGTAAAATAAGATATGGGCCAAGCACAGCCAGTAGAGTAGCAGTATATTGTATTTGACCAAATACATTCAATATTAGGGCAAAACTAAAATATAAAAAAATACAATATTAAAAGCCCCAGCCAACGTTCATGACTCCCGGATCCAAAGTAACAAAATATTTGCAGACGACATTTTAAGCAGCAGTGTACAAAATCACCGAGAAGTAAAATTTTCTCGGTGACGAAAGTAAGATTGCATAATAATCAAAGACCCACGTTATAACACGTTAAATTTGTTACCCTAGTTCGTTATCACTGAAGAGGCCTAACGAAATTAAATGATAACTGATAACAACATATTATTAATGACATTAGGCTAATGTAATTACTTGTTCAATGCAATTATTGAATGATTGATAATACATTTAAATAAGAATGAGTTCCAATTTTTCGGCCCCACTCGTCTCACAAGCCCCTCTGCTCACCGTTTCCTGCTCACTGGTTCGTGGGCCCCCTAAGCTCCCGGCCCCCCCCCCCCCCCCCGCATTGCAGGCCCTGCGGGCCCTTCTGTTACGTTACGCCACTGGATGGCTGGGGTGGACAAAATTTTGTTTTTATTATTTTAGGGTTATTTTCATGCTTTGTGATTTTTAAATGAGGTTTTAAATGACTGAAATAACAAGAAACAAATTGTAAACAAAACACAATTGGACGTACAGAACTAACAATAAAATTGGCTTCAGCTGTTCCATAAAAATAACAAATAGGCCTATGCTAAGGGAGTCTGTTTTATTATGCCCTAAGTGTATGAATAAAAGCAAATTTAATAAATTCAATGTCAAAATAAGAGTGGTTCTGATGGTGGTTTGGACGTGTCCAAGAAGTAGGCCTAATGCCAACTCACATATTGGGACAAGGCAAGGTGCAGGTGAATCGCCGCTGATTTTGTAATGCACATTTTTAACGGGTGCACCGCACATTGAGCAGATGCTCGCACTTGCTTGTGCTTGTTGATTGTTTGTGTAGCTCTGCTATTTTGTCCCTTGTAGCTCAAGATTACCCTTTATTTTACAACACTTTTAATAATGATGATAATGGGGGAAATGAAGGCTGAATTTAAATTTAGGTTAGACCTAAGCTAGGCTATGTAATTGTTCACACAAAAGCATTTTCCAAAGAACCGATCTGTCAGGTGTTAAATTAAAACATACTCACATTGAATTATTTTTCATGCAAGTTAATCATATTTTTAAATATCTTTTCCTGTGTTTTTTTATGTTTTTAAATACTGTAGCGAAGAATTATGTTCAGTAAGTTTTCCTTTTAGAGTACTCCCCCCTTTTGTCTAAAAAATGATTTCATTGTTTTGATTCCAGGTTTGTAGCTATAACTGGAGGACTCTACGGATTTTACCTGTCTAAGCAACAAATAGACAAAACAAGATATGAAAGTATGAAAATTAGAGAGAAGTTGAGGTTAGCAAATCAAGCAGATTATATACCTGAGAGGAATTTTAAATTACCTGAAGTTCCTGAGCTGAAGAAGAAAGAATAGATTTGGAGGAAGCATTTTAATATACGAGGGAAATAACATTGCCACAATGTCAATGCAACAAGCAGAGTTGGCGAGTCTACAGCTGGTCCAAGAGTTGGAGTTGGAGATGATGGCAGATATGTACAACCGGATGACAGCTGCATGTCATAAGAAGTGCATCCCTCCTCAGTACCGGGAGGGTGAACTCGCCAAGGGTGAAGCAGTGTGTATAGACCGCTGTGTGGCCAAGTACATGGACGTCCATGAACGTGTCGGCAAGAAACTTACCGAGCTCTCTATGAAGGATGCAGACTTTATGCAGCGAATGCAAGGACAACAAAAGTCATAATTGTTATCTCGTATAGTTGTATAGTGTAGTGTAGCTCTCGTTTAGGGTGATGTCGGCTTTTAGATTGGCAAAAGATGTCTTCTTCCAGGTATGTTTTTCTTTTTTTACATTAATGATTCAAAGGCGCAATAACTCTGAGCTCAAAGACGGTTATTTTGTTATGTGTTGTGTATTGTTTGAGATCCTACTGAATGAGGCACACGTTGTTAAATAAAGTATGATTAATTGAGGCAAGTGTATGTTCTATCTTTCAGTTTCCTTTTTCTAGTTGAGTTTAAAAGCTATAATAGAATAGTGTTGGTAAACCAAACAAGATGAATAATTGAATATCAAAACTTAATAGGCATGCTTATTCAATGTTAAACAGAAGGTTAAAAGCCAAATTTAATTGGTTTGACATTTTGTAATGGGGTTAAACATTTGGATGTTCTTAAAAGATTACAGATATATTCTAAGATGATATCTGCATCCAGCAATTACTCAATGTCAACATCGTAGAGAATTTTATTGGCTTAGACAATATTCGTTAAAACTAAAGAAAGCTCTTGATTTCACTTTTTTAGAATGCATTTCATTTTATTCACAGTTTATCACACCCTAGTATCTTACCGGTATCAATGTGTACAAACCCTTTTAGAAGCCCTTGTTAAAAAGCCTTTGTTAAAAATTCAGTCCGCCATTGAATTTTGGTTAGTAATAATTGGTTGGTAATAATTGGTTAGTTTAATAATTAGTACCCGCGGTGGCCGCTAGGTAGACTATCCCGAGCGCCTGGCCAAGACAGCTGACAACCAAGTGAGAGAGAGTGAGACAAAGAAGTCGGCTTAGAGGGAGAGAGAGATAGTGAGACATAGAGTAGCGCAGGCGATCCTAGTGGCGGCTGCACGAAGCTCATTTCGGCATCAAAATTCCATTCTGACTATTCTCCATAAGCATTTCACTTATGAAAGGGTTTTGTATTCATAATGCTATGCCCTAGTTATTGAATTAACCTTTTTAGAAATTTCCTTTGTGAAATTTGCTTTTGTAAAATGAGGTGTTATAGACAATCAGCTGTATTTTTGTCATTTCTTAAAGGAATACAGCTACATTGGTGTCACAAAATTATAGGGGATTATTGCCATGGTGGAAGGAAAAAACATAGGTGTGCTATTCCCACATATTCTGACGTCACTCGGATTGCAAACAAAAGATCATCTGATTATAACTGTCAAATCAGTATATGTATTTGTTTTGATTTGGCTGTTATTGTTTTTATTATTATGAAAACAATAACAATCAAATAAAAACAAATACATACTAAATTTGACAGTTACAATCAGATGATCTTTTGTTTGCAATCCGAGTGACGTCAGAATATGTGGGAATAGCACACCTATGTTTTTTCCTTCCACCATGGATTATTGCTTTAAAAAGGTAAAAATCTTTATAGTTGGTCAAAAAGAGGGTCATTCGACCCGCCAGGCCAAGTAATGTTACAGTAAGTTCCCTGTTTCATTCTTCTGGTTGTTTGGCAGTGCATTTATTACTTTTACATCCAATATGTAGCAGGGTTTGTGTTGTATGGGAGACTGAAGCCTGTACTCGGTAATTCTATTCTGGGGAATTCCAACCTATGGATGTACAACTGTGTGGATCACACTGTATATATACATAAATATATAGGGTTATTGAGAAAGATGAAATCACAAGAAGGTCCCTGAAGATGCTACAAAAGGCTGGTAAAATGCATAGAGTGATACAATCATCTTGCCTACAAGAATTTAGGCAACAACAACAAAGGTAAATCTAATAAAGAGCCTAATTTAATTTCTTAAAACTGAGATAGCAAACAATTAAAAAAGAAATCAAAAATATACTAATATAGTAAAAAAGTGGCTAAACGTGGCTGATTTTTTATCTTTTTTGTCTATTGAGCTCTTTCTAAATCCTAAATGTTCCAATTCTAAATTAAATTAAAATTATAAACTGTTTACATTCATAGACCTATTTATTTGTTACAGGCTTATAGTATTTACATTTTTCTTTCTCAGGTTGAACAAGTTATTTTTTAAACCTCAAACGTAATTAGTAGCGCTAGATGACTGAGACTCAATGTAAGAAGATGTTTTGTATAGGCTAAGAGTGCCTATGTCAGGATTGCTGAGCTTGCAGATGAGTCACTGGTTTGCAGGTGTGGTCCGTCTGAGTAGCAAGTTTGCTGATAAGCTGGTTGAGTTGGTGATGTGGCTACTCGTGTTTTAAGGACTACCCAGGCGTTCACTCTGACATCACTTATCCCCTTCTTGATAATAAAGGTGATTTTCCAATCAATGGTCAGTTTCTTTAGATATAAAATGTTAAGGAAAGTATAGTTTTTGTTTCAGTGAACAAATAGACTAGATAGACTAGTGTATTGGTTTGGAGACACTTTTTTTTAATGGTTCCTAATGTAAAAGGGCATGTATTTTTGTTGAAGGTTTTGTTGTTTTAAATATTGTAGTTGAAAATTACCTTACAGTGTCATAGTCTTGTCTGGTCTGTTACACTTACATCATGTTCATACAATTCTTGTAACTGTTATGCTAGTAGTATTCTTTTTATATGCTTATCGGTAAAAATAAATGTTTCTAATCTAAATACAGTGAGCGCAAGTGGAATCAATACACAGAACATGTATTATTGTGATCAGGGCCTCTTTAATAAATGGGCCCCCTGAGCCCGGGCCCATGGGCGCAAGGGGTTTCATGTCTGTTGGGGACGCAACAAAAAGAAAAATTCCCCCTCAAGATTGGTGGTGTGGGGCGTAATTATCTCTCGAGTCCATAGCAAGTCGCATATGAAAACTGCAAGCCTGATTGTGAAAACATTTAGGAACATGGACATTATTAGTTCACTTTTATTTAGTTATACCTTTTGGGTTGACATACCACCAACCTTTTAAATTAACTATAGAATTCTACTGTGACAGGTTTTTTTTTAGCAATATATCCTATACCAGAAGAAGGGTATTCCAAAGTCATCAATTGTTTTAAAGAAGCACTTAAATTAAAATCAATGTTTTAGCCCCTGGGCTGCGATATAATTAAATAATAGGTTTTTACCTTTGTATATTTAGCTCAGTGTTTTGTAGCTTAAATTACGGCCGTTTTTATACCACGGTAAGTAATAAAGATTTAACCCTTCTCGGACAGGCGAAATCGTGACATAGAACGGGAAAAGATTATAGAAAAAAATTTAAATTAATTTTCCTTATTTGTGTTTTGTTATACAAGTATACATAAAATAAACACAATCGGACACTTCATACTTTCAAAATAATTTTTTACTTGTTTTAAACTATGCGGATGGGATATATTATCTGCTACCCGTCCGCGGATGAGTAGAAAAGCCGTGGATATATCCGCCACCCGTTTTTGAAGATATGACCATGACAACGTTAGGCAATAATTAATAAAGAACAATATTTAAACAATAAATACAGACAACGTATTGTTGAGCGCGAAACGTCGAGGGAGGAGCGTAGGAGAGGTGGGTGGTGCGCAGGAGAGGGGGAGGCGCAGGAGAGAGGTAGGCATGGGAGAGAAGGGGGAGTGCGTGAGAGAGCGCAGCTATGGAGAGAGCAGGAAAGTGGCGCCTTGGTACCGTGAAACATCTGGTTACTGCTCAAGCACCACTGTCTGTCTGAAGAGAAGGCGGATATATCCGCTTCCCGTCCGAAACATCAAAAACCATAAGCAAATATATCCGCCACCCGTCCTTTATCGCCAAAGACTTAGGCAGATATATCTGTCACCCGTCCGTGAAAGGTTAATCCCTTTACCAGGAATACCCGATGATCCCAGTAGATGGTGTAGGGAAATATGTTTGTGCGTTTCGTTCTATCTAGGGCGTCCCTCTCTCTGAGTCTACCGGATTCAATGGTTCAATTGAGTAAGCACAATAGCCACAGTCAAACAACCCTAAGAAGGTACTTGTGCCTGGTGATAGAGGAAAGGGTCGATAATGGCGGGAAATTATGTCTTTCCAAAAACATTGGTTTGTCACTAAGTCGCTAGCTACCTGAGATCCCCCTTACACCCCTGACCTTAACTTCCTATGCACACGGCCCCACTAAGTCAATTAGTGTCAGGTGAGTGGTCAAGTATAAGGAAGACGTTTTGTTTACTTCCAGGATAGGGCAGCGTTTTTTCAACATCTGTAATACGCACATAGTGGCATCCCCATCTTAAATAATTGATTGATTGATTGCAAAGTGACTGTAATGTGTCACCCGACACTGGTATGTGAGATGTGAAATCCAAGGAGATTAAGAAAACAATTGGTGTCTAACATCACTTGAGGATTATGAACTAGAAGGTATTATGAAAACAATGAGATGTGTTCTCATTACAGCTGTAACAAGTAGACCTGCATGTTTCATTTTTCAAAACATTGAAAGTTTTTGTAATTATTTTAGTTTGATTTTGCCTGCACAACAATTCACAAGTGCCAAATTTTGCACAAAGCTGTAGATTTTGAATTTTTGAACGCTAAATGTAGCGACAAGCTGGCAAAGAGACTTGGCAATTTGCCATCTTTAGGTTTGGCAGTTTTCATTCACTTGTGAGTCAGTTAAAACACTTCTTTTGTGGCTGTAACGCCATGGTCTTTGTGTTTGCATATTAGCATTTATTTGCATATAAGATAGTTTGCTTACCCTGGTGAGTAAACCTCTTTGAAATTTCATGGATTTATGTCAAAACACACAATAATGAGTTGGTCAGTGAGTGTTTTTGTTTTTGTTTTATTATTGTGGTGTGCAATACAAAAACAATACAAATTCAATACAATTGGATTTAATGTCATAAAAATACATTTAGTAAGCTGTGCTGTAAGTAATTTGTTTTTTATTTCTACAAGTGCACTCGCCCTAGAAACTTGTTTAAGGGGACAGACTGTTATCTTGACCGCAAAAAGCAAGGCCCCACTAGAAAAACAGGCCATTCTGCAGGAACCATGACATCACACTTGTGCATAGATTCACTGCCATATCGCATATGTTTTAGGTAAATAAGCTGGCTTTTTGTCAGATTTTGCGCTGCAGCATGGCCTTTTTTGCTATTGGTGCCTTGGGGAAAAGGCCATCTTTGTTTTTTTTTGTAGCATACTTAATTTACGTATGTGAAACACAGATATATCAATCAATATTAATTATTTAAGATGGGAACGCCACTATGTGCGTATTTTAACCCAAATATGAGTCTAGTATGAGTGGAGCGATCTTGTAGTCTTGTTAGTGACTAAGGCCAACATGTTCCTTAGACACAGCTGTTAATTAATAGCCCTTACAACTAATGGCAACTAAGGGATATATTTTGAACCAAACCCATTAAGTTGTATAAACCTTATACCTTAATTAAAACCTTAATTAATTTTTCTATTGATTGTTTACTCATAGGGAAATGCCCCCCACCCCCAGTGGCTGCATACATTTTACATTATAAAGATTTCTGATGTAGTTTTTACTCCTGTTTTCATGTAGCCTATTAAATTCAGGTATTGAATTATTATCCATACGTCAACTACATACATTATAATCCCCATTAGTTGGTCATCTAAGTGTCTAGTATTGCCTCTTTCTAGCTTAAAACTAATTTAGGCTATTATAAGCCTTATTTACTTTGTTTTATGACTAATCTCGTTCCCAAACTATGGTCTTAAAACGAATAATCATCTTTCAGACCTTCTACTATCTTTGTATTCTCTTAATATTTGTTCACATTGAACGTTATGGCTGATGCCGACTTGTTTTGAAGCTTCAGAATTGTTTTTAACATGAATAGATAAAACTTGAAGTTCAATAACAGGTTGCTGCACACCTTCAGTTCCTCTGACAACCTCTGGCCTTAAACTTAATAAATAAAAATATTAAGAAAACTCTTTTCTTTTATAGAAAACAAAACATAGGTAAATCTTTGTCTTTCAAACTACAACTTATTTTCCTTGAATGGCTTCTACCTAAATATTTTACAATAACTTTTGCTTATCTAAATATATAAAGGGGGATGTTCCCTGACTGACTGATCGACGAACAGCCTATGTGGATTACCACACTAATTCAACTTTAATCCCTAGAGACTTGAAATTTTGGGGGTTTATTCTTATCATTATGCAGGGGTAAAATAAGAAACGTTTGTTTTATAGTTTCGTTACTGAATAGGTGTGCTATTCCCATCATATTCTGACGTCACTCGGATTGCAAACAAAAGATCACCTGACTGTAACTGTCAGTGTGACTGTAAATTAGTATATATATTTGTTTTGATTTGGTTGCTATTGTTTTTATAATGTGTGTTTTTATAAAAAAAAACAATAACAATCGAATCAAAACAAATACATACTAATTTGACAGTTACAATTAGTGATCTTTTGTTTGCAATTCGAGTGACGTCAGAATATGATGGGAATAGCACACCTATGTTTTTTCCTTCCACCATGCCTCTCAATGATAACATTTTAATTTTAACTATGTGAGGCTCTTTTGTGTGAACTACTTACTTACCTCAAATTCTCCTTGCTTCTTTAGTTGTTTTATTGTTTCACAGGATTCCAGGGATGGCCAAAATCCATTCATACTGCCTAGATTTCCTGCGTGATCAAAATCTTATTGCTACCATCGAGACAGCGCAGGAAAACCAGAGCACAACGCTCAACCTCAGCTGCTACCACGTCGAGACAGTGCCAAGTGCTGTGTTTGACATGACGGTTTTGAAAAAACTTTATCTTGATGAAAACCATCTGCACGAATTGCCAGATTGTTTGTCCAATCTGGATAACCTTCATGTGCTCACAGTTGATCACAACCATCTGAAGAGTCTACCTACGTGCTTGGGTGTGATGCGGAACCTGCTCCACTTGAATGTGAGCCACAACCCTCTGGGATCCGTCCCCGCTCATATATCCACCCTGGAGAGTCTAGATTCCCTTTGGCTTAACACTACCGAGCTGAAAGAACTTCCCAGCAGTCTTCAGAGCCTCAAGAACTTGACAACATTAGGAGCAAGAGGAAACGCCATCTCCAACTACCCAGCACAGCTCTGCTCCTTCGTAAACTTGAGGTATGTAGACATTTATATTTACAGGTTGTCTGGTCATAAGTGTTTAGTAAAATTATTTGTCAAACTACTGTACTTGATAATCATGATTGAATTAAATGCGTATTTGAGGTTTCCAACTCAGTTAGTAAGAGGATAAAAAATAAATCAAGTTAAAAAAATATTGGTAGTTGTTATCAAAAAATCATGAACAGTAAACTCTCTACTTTCCACGGGCGGTTTATCCGCTTTGCAGGTTATCCGCGGTGCATGTAGGTAAAAAAAACATAATTTAAATAAAGTTACTAAATATATAAGTAAAATACTACTATATACTAAGTTAAAAATTGTAAATCGCAAATACAGTACAGTACACTTAATAATGTACAAAACGTGTACACTAGTTCAGTATAAGGTACTGTACATTACACGGTATCCAATATACACGGTGTGTGCTTGAGCAGTTTTAATTACAGTTAATAACCATTTGTATTTTTCACGATGGTACTAGTAACTGCACAGACACACATATGTTCACTCCCGGCTTGCCTGACCATCACTGATTACAGTGACGTTGAGGGTAGGCTGACAAGGGAGGAGGGGCATGCTTGGTTTGTCCGATTTGCCATATTGTTTGTCAGTTCTCGTAAAATTTACAAGTGGTTAGTAATCTAGGGTTAAAAAGAATTGTTTACCACTCATTATTATTAGAGACATTTATTTCATTCATTTGCCTGTTTCATTGTTTGACAATATTTGTCAAATCATGGCAACATCCATGGTTTTATAGCTGTAGAACACTTTTTTAGTGTTAATATGGGTCACATTGATATGTTCTGTTTCTAACCAGTGAATGTTTATTAACTATTACATGTGATTTATCAATAATTAATGCTATATTTTCCCACCCCTATAATGTGACTAGCGTCTAGACTGCCAGTGCAACTCCGAGCCCGAGGATCGTGGATCAGATCAGTAGATCACCCCCCACCACCGCACCATGTCGTACGCTTCCGAATCATACCGGCGCATCAGCATAGCTTATCTAACTGTTCGCGGAAAATTGTTATCTGTATCACTGTCGCTGTCAAAACGTATAATTTGTAGATTAAATTTGAATTAAATATAATTAAACTATCATAACCTAACCAAACTAACCAAACTTGCTGATAATGATTAACTCGAATGAAGGTTTACTAATCGAAAAATAGCTCTGTTCTAAAAATAAAATTATAAATGTCTCAAATTCAATTTTACAATCTTTTAATTATAAAATTAAACTGTCATAACCTAACCAAACCAACCAAACTTGCTGATATGAAAAAAATTGTTGACAAAAAGTTAGTGCTCCCGGTGGGATTCGAACCCGGCATCCGGCTCCTTCAGATTATCAGCCCTACACGCTATCCACTACACCACAAAGGCTCATGACTCAGTTCCGTATCGTTGCAGTAATGGTTGACGTCACGCCATCGGCACTGAGCGGTGGTGGGGGGTTTTTCGATCTGATCCACGATCCTACGATCCTAGGAGTTGCACTGGCAGTCTAGATGCTTATCTATAATGTGTACTACATTGACATTGTTCCCCTTGTTTCAGGTGGCTGACATTAGAGAGAAACCAACTGAGACAGTTACCTGAAGAGTTTCAAAATCTCAAGAGCCTCAAACATTTGAATTTATCCATGAACTTGTTTGAAGAAATACCACCAGTCTTGGTGCATATTAAGGTATTGTTTTGAACTAGGGCCTAGCCTTTGCTAGGCACCCAGATAAGCTCAGATAATCTTTATTATCTGAGCTTATCTGGGTGCTGAAACTATTCTCTTCATTTGTTTAAAATTATGGTTCAGTCTTAAACTATTTATAATTATAATATGGATTAAGGTAACCAATGTGTTCGGTTCCATAATTGTTTTAGTTTCCATGTGTTTCATTATCATGGTTTCGTTAGTAAGTATTACTGAAGTGTCATTTAAAGAGTTTAGAACTCGCCCTCCCTCAGTCAAATATTTGTTCTGAGTTCCACTTTCTTGACCTAGTTTAAAAAACTGCCCCGACTATAAATATGTCAAATGCATTAAACAAAAATTCTCCAAAAACATAGTCGTTGGTATGTTTTACAGCCATTCTTTGTTTCAAGGGTCTTCAGTTTTGCTTCATGTGCAGCAACCTCATAGCAGCCGTTAGTGAAGTCATGCTGCAGCAGCTGAAACATCTGAAACGTTTGGACCTTCGAGGTAACCCAGTGACAACAGATATAAACCGCAAGGTAAACTCCATGATATTAATAAATTTAACATTGAGACAAACACAATACCAAGTTTTTTATCTAAAGTTTTTGGGTTTTAAATTATATTTAAAATTAAGTTGATCCGACCACATTCACCATCTAAATAAAAAACTAAGTTCAGCAAGGAATACATTGAGCGTACTAACTATAATCACACCGATCGAAGTCTGCTTGACGGTATATCATGCATATGTTCACTCCTTGTTTTAATTTAGATTTAAAATTAAGTTGATCCGACCACATTCACCATCTAAATAAAAAATTAAGTTCAAAAAGGAATACATTGAGCGTACTAACTATAATCACACCGATCGAAGTCTGCTTGACGGTACATCATGCATATGTTCACTTTTCACTCCTTGTGGCTAATGGAGTTTCTCTAGAGCTGTGTTTATGTTTACACAAAGCCAGTTAACAAGCAGCTTACCTGCCTCAAGTAACTTGAAATACACCAGAGGCAAATAACCTGCCTACTCTACTACTGGACTCGTGTAAACGCAAATTATGGGTTAATTATGTAGAGGCAAGAAAGTGTTCACTTGCCAAAAGTCTTCGCTCAGGACTATTTGTCACCATAAGTCTAAAACCAGATGTAGACATTTTTTTCAATAAACATTTCATTTTAATATTACCATCTATTTATAAACAGTTGAATCTCTAAGACAAATTTCAAGGGGCATGGGAAAAATTCATATTATCGAGGTATTCTTAATAAAGAGGTTCGTTTTATCGAGGTTTAATACTGCCATTATTTGTCTTATAGAGGTTTCTCAAAACCCAAGGCACGTGCCAAATAATGGCTGAGGAAGGAAGAGGGATGGGTAGGGGTTTCATGTTGAGACTTGCTTCTGTTTGTTTTGAAAACTACGTACTATCGAGGTTAAGATCATGAGAAATTCGTCTTATAGAGGTCGCATTCTTTTTGTAGAGGTTTTGTGCTATATGTTGTATAGAGGTCAATCAGTCCTAGCTCATGTCACAAATGATTTCGCCTTAGGTGGTTTTTAACCTAATTACTACGTTGTATGGAGGTTTTTTTAGCATTGACCTTTATGAAAGTTTCACGGGGAGGTTCATACTAACAAGGTTTGACTGTATTTTAAATAGTAAAGTATGTTCATGCAAATCCTTCCTTTAATGAAAATATAAAACAAATCATAACTATATCAAATAAGAAATAATAAGCAAGATTTTCAACTGGACCTATTTTGTGGGATTGAAAGCGTACTACCATTTAGGTTAGGTTACTTTCGTTTCTGATGTAACTATCTATTGGATTAGAAATCAACTGCAGCTGTTTTGTGCTGCAGCAATTAGTATCTGCTGGGGCATTATAGAGTGCCCCCAAGGAGATTTGACTGGTAACATAAACCTTTATGTATCAATGTTTTAAAAAATATGTTAAACCTTCCTATGACTTTTGTAACTTGTACTATTTTGAAAAAACTTAGTCATCTTAGTCATATCACTCTCTCAATCCAAAATGTTGATTTCAGATGTATACATATGTGGTGTTGAAGACGGGTCAGAATCATAACATGGAGTTGGAATCTTCTGATTCTGAAGATTACGAGGAATCGATAGCCTCCAGTGAGATAAACCTGAGCAGCGGAAATAGTCAGGAAGAGCAAGAGCCGGAGGTGGCGACCACGCTGCCGCAACTCTCAAGGTTCGCCTTCTCTGCGGTGTGATATGTGACAAAATAATAAATGGCCTCATACAGACATAAGAGGAAGACTATGGTTGACTCTTTGGGCTCCAGGAATAGTTCATTAAGGCGGTCGACACACGGGAAGACTGAAACCCAACTATAGTTGAACCAACTATTTTTTGACGCGATTACGATTGCAGTTGCGTTGGTTAAATCTGCACACGGGCGCGACTGAAATAATTGTAGTTGAGTTGAGACAGTGAATGAGTTCAAATTTTGTTATAACGATACTGTGCACTGTGTATGGTGTTTAAAATGTGTAGTGGTGATAAAGCCCTGGTGTTTTATAGACAATCAAGAAAGCTTAGAGGACGCAGAAGATATTGGGTCATTCCTTATGTTGAAACAAATATTCATTGTAGGCTGTTTGTAGCTGCTGCTGCATTACAAGAAACGGATGCATAATTTCAGTCTATGTACAGGATGTCAATACTTACAATATTCACAAAAATACTGGAAAAGTTGTTCAAACCAGGCGACTGAAATCACCTAGCAACCGGCAGGTCCGGTTGCTTAACGACTGATCGCCGACTGGTCCTCAACTGGTCGCATCGCAGTCGCACCGTGTGCACTGTCCCACCTAACTACATTGGTCGGGACGCAGGCAACTAGTTTGTCCAACTAGTTGCCGATTTCAGTTGGAAAACAGTCTTCCCGTGTGTCGACGGCCTTAGTCAACTGGTGAACTCATGAGTTGCACACCAGACAACAACTAAATTTGAACTAGACATACTATGGATAGGCTAGGAATAGACATTCCATCCCATGATAAGTTATAGCCAGTAGAATAAAAATTAACATAATTGAGTTTAACCAACAAAGTGCTTTGATGCCAATTGATATATTACTTTGCCAAATTTTTATTGAGCCAATCTGAAATGACTTATTAGTTTTTAACTGGCATTGTTATATAACATACACTATCAGGAACAAAATCTATGGGTAGTTTAGTAGTATACCACTTCAATTACTGATTTCTTTCAAATGCTCCAAATTTTACTGCTCAACGAATCTGAAATGAATGATAGTAAACTGAATATATTTACATCACATGAAACCATCACTATCAAAATCTAAGGGTGAAAATAGAATTTCAGTAGTGGCTTGTTAAACTATGTTCCTTTTTAATAATATAGGCTACAGCTGGTCCATGAAGATGTGTTATCAGTCAACCATGATTAGAACTGATAAGACGTAATTGCAATACTGGTAAACACAAGTCCGACGGAAGAAGTTTGAGGTTGCTTCTCATGCCACAAACTCATGTCAGACACCCATGTTTCCCATGTTTTAATTATTGAGTTGTGCTCACATATACAATCTAGCATTTGATGTATAGTATTTTGACCTTTGGACCTCAAGTGGTTAAAACAAACAAAAATATACTTATTTTTATAGCAGAGTATTTTTGTAATTTTTTACCATAAAATGCATCATTTCTCGAAAGGATGTAAGCTGCTAGGAAAAAGACAAAAACTTTTTACTAGAATAATATATTGATTTCTTGTACATTTGAATTAAGTTTAATATTATGAGTAGTGGGCTTTGTAATGTAGGCACTGTAATTACTTGGTTTTTGTAGTTTATTTTATGAAATACTTCATACTATGCTATGTAAAAATGTAACATTGTACTTTAGCTTGTATATCTTTGAACAATATGTCAAGTTTTTTTTCAAACGATCAATGATTTTGTTTCATCAACAATATATTTGTATTGTTCCATATTTTGTAGTATAATATTTCTGCTGGTGCTGTATCATGAGAATTGTTACCGTCTAGTTGACCAGTAATTAATCATTTAATGTTTCGTTTCGTGTATCAACCAAGTTATGTACCATGTCATTTATATAGTACCGTACTGAACTTTTGACAAACTCTATCATGAGGAATATTTAATCACATCTTGACATCCTGACCTGAGGTTTGCTCCGTCCGAAGCATGAAACAGCTGTAGTCGTAAACTACAAAGGATCATTTTAGACAGTTGTACAGATAATATAAACCACTCACTATAAAAGTGCCATATTATTATTAGTGTTCTTCAATTCAAAAGCTACAATGGATTTTAAAGTCTAAGTTTTATGAATGAGTGCTAACCCTTTATAAAGCCGGGTTTTCCTAGGCGCGGAAGTGGAGAGCGGAGAGAGGAACACGGAGAGCGGACTCCACTTGTCTTAGGTAATTTAATGTTACTGTTTTCCTAGAAGCGGAGCGGATCACCATGTTAATCTCTATTCCGCTCTCCGCTTCCGCGCCTAGAAACCCCAGCTTAGAATCAATCTCCCATTAGACACAGGGCAGAATTCAAAATCTTCATGTAAAAATTCCATTTTCTTACTTTCAATACTTTCTTTCCTATACGATGTATATGAAGAAATTATTGTTTTTTTGCCAAAATTGTTGAATTTGAGTTTTGGGTGATGACACAGACCACACCCGTGGTCTGATTTGATGATATTTCATATTTGGGGACTTATCTATGGTGTCTCCAGGTTTTTATTTACTTGAAAATTTGATTTGTAATGGTGATTTTCCCAGAAAAATTGAATTTTGTCAAAAATGTCCTGAATGATTTTGACAAAAATGTTGTATTTTATTGTTATTTTGACTCCAAACAAACCCACATTGCTGTAAAAATTACGGTTATAAATAACAGAAAATCGGATTGTCAGAAAAAGTAACTTGACTGATTTTGATTAAAATTTTGTATGTTCCTTTTAACTCCAAACAAAATGGCTACCCCTATTGCTGTAAAAATTACGGCTTTAAAGTTATTACAACTTTTGTGATTTTCCCCATAAATTATCAAAGTTACTCTCACCACTTACCCATGTGCCATAAGGGTTGTTGACAAGCTAGTCGGAGAAAGAATGTGTCAGATTGCTGATACTGTTTATTTTTATTAAAGTTGCATTTTATATACCTATTGTTGAATTTTATTTCCTTGATAGCCACAATTTTTTTTTATTTCAAAATTATACTCAAAAACACCAAAGCAATGTTTGGTTTTGTTTTGATTTAAGGTCCTTTTGTCAATATGTTGTCTCAGCCGGCAGTGCGACCAGTTGTACAAATTAGGGGCAGCAATGTCCAGTGTTTACGTCCTGGTGGTGTCACTAATCAGTTTGGTTCATTTTGTAGTACTTTATTGGCTCAACCCATGTGACAGAGACGTAGAGAAACTCCAATATCTTTGACTATAGCCTGTTCACAAAATTAAGCCGCCTTGAGAGGAAGTTTACACACTACTTTTTTATTCTTAATGTTTATGTTGCTGCTAGTTGGCGTTTTGACAAACCTTAGTTGTTGGGCTATTGTTTTTAAGGTGTAAGTGGAGGGAATAGATTATTTCTTCACCTAAAATCACATTTTGTGAACGGAGTATAGTTCCTTAGCTAACAAAAAATCCTAAACTCCAAACACTTATTTGGCTGTTAATTCAAAATGTTGTATTTTGGGCCCAAAAAATTGGAGAATTGCCAAAATAGCATTGCAGAATCAAAAGTAAACTAGAGGACCCATGCTGCTCCGCAGCGTTAAAATAAATATAATATCCGAAAAATAATCAAATTTATGATTTTTGTTTGGGTAATACAGTATCTTGAGCTTAACTGATTTAAACGATCAATAGCTCAAATTAAAGCCTATAATTTACTGATTATTTTGAGTCTAAAAATATAAAAAACATGAACAATATTGGAGCTATTGATTCGTAATCATAGAAAACCCTTATGGATTTAAATTTTTATGTTGGTTGTTCACATTACGATTGCTTGAAACTCGTCCGATTTGAATAACTAATAGCTTAAAAGAAAGCTGTTATTTCACTGAAAATTCTTAGACCAAAATAAATAGGATTATATAATTATAGCTGGTGAAACACATCTTAATTGTAGTAATCTTAAATTCTAAAAGGAATCAAACTATGCTGATGCTTGATGTGAAATCTTTGCATGCATACCTTCCAATTTGAGACCTCAATCATAAAAATCGGTCGGGTAGAAGAGCCAAACAAACTCGGCAAAGAGAAACCAAATTTAACTCCCATAAGAAATACATGGGGAGCGAATTTTGTTTACGTATATGCCAAGTGGAATTATAGATTAATATATGCCGATGATTGATGGCAAATCTGTGCGTGCATACCTTCAATTTGAGACCTCAATCATGAAAATGGGTCGGGTAGGAGAGCCAAATGAACTCGGCAAAGAGAAACCAAATTTAACTTCCATAAGAAATACATGGGGCAAATTTTGTTAATGTATAAACCGAGTGACTATAGATAAATATATGCCGATGCTTTATGGCAAATCTGTGCGTGCATACCTTCAATTTGAGACCTCAGTCATGAAAATCGGTCGGGTAGAAGAGCCAAACGTAGTCGGAAAAGAAAAACCAAGTTTTTTTAATATATAAGATTTTAAAAATATCATTATTTTCATTTGCTCAGCTTTGTAGCCCTAGTCTTTGATATATTAAACAAAACGCAGTGACCAGCCATCCATAACATTGTATTGAGGAGGTTAAAGTATTAAGGGAAAAATATGTTACTGTGTATTAAGTATTTTTTGTTCGAACTTCCCTAATGTTCTCAAAACCTATTGGAATTCCATCTCCTTTCTAGTCAACAATTAATTTCCCTAATTAAATTTGCTTCAAACAGCCTAATGTGTGAGAACTTCCAACCTTTGTGGAAAACAAAGAGTGAACTAAACAAGCTATTGTTGTTTTGTTTAGTAAAGCACAATGCCACCACTAATGACTAGTGCTAGTGAGTCATGGTTGTCAGTTTGAAGCAACACAACAATCAGTGCCATGCTGATAGAGACCACTAGCCCATGTTACACCTACTTACAAAGTGAGTCATGTCAATTATCAATTTGTTGTATGAAAGAAGTATATTGTTTACAGATAGAAAGCGATTGATCATTATCTTATAGTCTCCCAGTTTGATCCCAGAAAAGTCAGTAGCTTTTTGATGCATTGAAACTGGCTTACCTGTCCTTAATTGGGTTTGAAATAATATAATATATGAATAATTGGACCCTGAAAACCCAGTTTTTAGTCAGTAAAAAACCTATAGGCCTATTTCCCTGGTTGAGGCAGTTATCACTGTGAGCTATGCCACTTTGTACAATTTTGTTGAACACATATCTTTTGTATCCAAGTCTATTGTCTTTTCTTAAGTCTCGTCTGTCCTTTTCACAAACTAAACGCTAGTTTTAAATTAATCCAACGACAATTAATTGTTATTTAGATGGCTGTGCAAAATAACCAAAAGAGATGGCAGTGGGGGAAAGGAGTCTTGTGTGCATGCCACTCTAATTTACTTACAATTTATAAGGGCCCTAATGATGATATACATTAATAAATTGTAAACAGTGTGTATGTGTGTGTGTGTATTTTGCCTCGATTCATGATCAGTTATGTCACTTGTTATCTCATAAAGACAAGATAATTAGTTTCTCAGCTAGAATCATTGGACTTTCTAAGTTAACCTTTGAGATTAATGTTTTCCACAGCGAACTGTACTTACAGATCTTTACGAGCAACAAACCGAAAGCTGATAGTCTGCATTTCGCCATGCTTGAGGCCACCTTATGTTTGGTTTTAATGTATGCAGGTAAATATAATTTACTTATGCACTATATTGAGATGATATCATTATTCTTGCTGTAATACATGTTCATTTTAAGATTTTAATAAGTTAGTTTTTTATAAGACATTGGAATTTGTTCGTCAGTCGTTTGTTCAGGGAAATATTAATTAAATGTGCAATTTAAGTTTAATTAGAGGATTCGAGTGGTCTTACTACAAACTAAAAGTAGATACTTGGGTGTCTTTACCAAACTTTATTTGTCATGTTATTTTCTTTAAGTAACTTAATGAAATGTTTTCTTTGGTTTACAAATATTTAACACAATAAAACATTGAAAATATGAAAATTTTTGTCACAACAATGAAGTTATCAATAAAATGTGTGCTACCAAAAGTAATTTATAGTTTCATGATTTTATTCATAATTTTCGTTCAAAAGAAAATCTCTATTACTGAAATGGAGTTGATATAGAAAAAGCACACATTGAGGTACCCTATTAGTATTAAGCTTGTCTTTATTAATAGAATTATGTCAATGTAGCTTTATCTATGAATTTTATATATTTTGCCAGGTTTGTGCATCGGAGAGCCAGCAGTAATTAAAAGACCTTTCATCTTGGCTGAGGATTTTAATATTGTTCTGGAAAATGGAAAGCTCCTCTTCTTTTTGTCAAACAATGGTAAGTTCCATCATCAACTAAATGTTTTGCATTGTAAAAACTCAATTGAAGAGTAAATTTTAAAATGAATACTTCACCAATATTTTATAAATTTTTATTTCACGATGCCTAATTTTAAAATTTATTCAAACCAATATTACCATATCCTCAAAAAGATAGTTTAAAAAGTTTTCTGGGACTATATTCCTGATACTGTATATCCCTTGACTCCATGAACTAGCTGGTATGTGGATTGATGTTTTATTAAGCGTTATGTTTATATAAATAACTGTTAAAAAACTAGTAGCTGCAATTTTTTCAAAGGTATTTTTTACTGACCATGGCAGAATCTGGAAGGTTTTGTACCCTCTTTTGTTTTGAATGCTGTAAAAAAGCCACCTTTAACGTCGTTCCAAAAAAATAATATTTTGTACAAATAAAATATAAACAAGTAATATCTACAGCTATGAAATTATGACTAAATGCAGGAATAATTGCGACCAATCTTTGATTTTATAAGTACACACAAATATTTTTTTTCAATCACTTGAAACTTTTTGCGAATTTCCCTTAAGGGAAGTAGCTATTACCGTAGATGGCATGGTAAGACCTAGGCCCGGGACCGATTTACTTTTAATTTTGATGTCCCGAGAGGCCAAAAATACCATCCGTTCAAAATGTTATTTATCTGTTCACACACACACACATATATATTATAAATATATATAATTATATAGGTTTGTATAGCCTACATATATATGTGTTACGTGATCAAGTTGAGTAATTATTGTATTATTCTTTTTGAAGGTGTATGGCGGCATAAACTTGAATGAGTTCCCGAACCAGCATGATCGGATCATGGGAAAGGGATTTTACGGGTGGTTTCATGGGGTTTTTATGGAGCCTCAAAATACAAAGTTTCCCAATTTCTCTCTAGCTCTCAAGCTCCATTTTAAAGAGCTTAGAAAAAAATAATCTAATACATCAAAAAGTTTTGTTTTATTTACGGAGAAAATTCAAAAAATTGTGAATTTAAAACTCTCATGTTAATCTTATGAAAAATATTGTAAAATAAAATGTTGTAGTTTGCATGTTTGTGGATATATTATTATTGAGCTTGGCAAACTTATTTATTGTATGACTAAGCTATTAATATTTTAACAAAAAAAACTGACTTTATTAGCTTCCCTGTAGCAGCAATCTTAGGTACTTGTCAAAAAACCTGCCTGGTTATACTAAATCTGTATACATAAAGTCTGCAGGTTTGCTGCAACGGGGTATTTTAAAATATTTTTACATTAGTTTTTATATTTGTTATGGTAGTAACCATATATACCAATGTCATGAAGCCATTTTTATATGCTCTTGTTAATAGAAAGAAACTATTGTTATATTTTAAAAAAATCGTTTTTTTTTTTAATAATTTATAATGACGGTTTATACATGTTGCAGAGAATGGTAAAGTTTTGAGTGGAGAATTAGGAAGGTCCCTGACAGAAAACATGATACTAAATGAGACCAAGATTTGTGAACACTCGCCAGACAACTGTGTTCAGTTTGGAAACAATATTAATTTGTCTGTTGAAAAAACTAGCCATTGTTATCACATTAATTGGACAACAATTGACAATCTAATATTTGAAGATTGTATAGACTATGGCAATGAAAGTTGGTTTGGCGGTCCTCAGAACCTAGTACAATATTGGCCTTTCAACAATATGACATTTAAAAGTTCTTCTTATGTGACAAAGCAAGATGATGACCAAGCTATAGCTGAACCTTACTGGGTTTCTACGTCAGGGTTTTACATCTTCGTTGACAAGACCACTCCTCTCTTCATAGATTCTAACAATGACTATCACAATGGCTTATGCCTGATTGGAAAACAGTCAAATCCTTATCTACCCAGAGGTAAGACGTATTTGGGATACAAGATATGTGCTCACCTTGACGTCCGGAGCGCTCACATAAACGCTGTTAAACAAGAACTCAAAACTCCCTCAGGTATCCCGGATCGTAGAATGATACAGCATCCCATCTGGTCAACTTGGGTAAAATTTAAAGTTGATGTGAACGAGTCCGCTGTTCTTCGATTCGCCGAGGAGATAGTGTCTAACGGCTTCAACAACAGCCAGATTGAAATAGACGATAACTGGGAAACTTGCTACGGGAGTGGACAGTTCAATCTGTCGAGATTCCCAGACATGAAAAATCTGAGTACAAAATTGCATGAAATGGGGTTCAGAGTGACTCTTTGGAATCATCCTTTTGTCAATACAAACTGTGAATTATTTAGTTTTCTGAAGAGTAAAGACTACTTGATACAGACTCAGGAGGGTAACGTGACTTGTGATTGGTGGAATGGAGTCGGAGGTGTGGTAGACTTTACCAATCCAGAAGCAGCTATGTGGTATTTAAATCATCGCCAGTCAATGATGGCTCAGAACAACATTGACAGTCTGAAATTGGATGCTGGAGAGTCAGGATGGCTCCCTCAGGTTAATATTAAACTACAGTTTTATTAAATTGTTTACCTGATTCTGATGGTAAAACATTGCAGCTTAGCATTCTTAATCTTTTATGATTAATACCAGAACAGATCTTTACTTATACAGTAAGTCTCCTCATAAGAGTCATTCCTGTGAGTGTATTTTTTCCAAGTAGACACAAAACTAATGAACTAGGCTGAAATGATTTATAGTCAAACTTCTGCCCAATAAATAGAGTTGTTGGAGACCTTACAAATCACCTCAGGTGATGTCCCAGGCACATTTTGAGTCCTGATGTAAAGCTTTTAAAATTTAATAGTGATTGGTCTTCGTGAACACAGAATGAAAGCGGTTTTGTTGTTACTGTTAATTTTTAAGATGTCTATGAATAGGGTTTTAGTGCCTACATAATAATCAGCTGGTTGCATGTTCGATCCTAAGAGAATACCAAAAAGATATTTTATTGTTTGGAATTGGACCCAGCTGTCCTCTTGATCATTGAAATTTTAACAAATTTTCCTGCTAAATAATTATCTGTCTAAGTAACAGAGCTACACAAAAAGGTATCTTACTCCATTCCACGCTCATTCTTTGCTAATATTTGGGTTAAATACACCCAGAGCACCACTTCTCAATTGGTAGTAATAATAATAATACAGTTTACTTAAAGACGTACATATTATTCTCTTCTCACCTGCAAGGTAAAGCTACCATAATAGAAGCTGTAGAAGTATATAATATGTATTTATCTCAACATCTATGTAAATGTGCAACACATAATTGTATTGTCTTACAGATACCCAAATTGAATGCAGATGTTACGCTCCAGCCAAATGCCTTCACAGTTGCCTATGTAAACACATTAGCTCAACTAGGAAATATGATAGAGATCAGAACTGGCTACGGGACTCAGAATCTGCCGGTTTTTGTTAGAATGATAGACAAATACTCATCCTGGTCTTTTGAAAATGGTCTGCCCACTTTGTTGACGACGCTGCTCCAGATGAATCTTAATGGCTACACTCTAGTATTGCCCGACATGGTGGGAGGCAACGCTTACAAACAACAAGTCGACAAGGAGCTTTTCATACGTTGGCTGCAGGCAAACACCTTCATGCCTGCCATACAGTTCTCACTGCCTCCTTGGGATTTTGACAAAGAGGTAATTGACCTTAAGTTTTCTATGAACAAAAACAGCTAAAGTATTTAATTCAAAGGATTGTTGTGGACATTTTCTACCACGATTAGGACCGGATTTAGAAAATAGTGGCTCCACCTGGCCTATGGGCCCTGAGCTGGACTACTGAGGATGATAAAGAAAATGTTTGGTAGGTTTTTGTGCGGAAATAAGGATGGAACCTTTTAAGTGAAAACAAAGTTATGTCCTGAAGTAAACTATACAGGTAGCCTATTAGCCCCTCCAGTAAAAAAACTAAATAAAAATCAACAAAGGTTCCTTATTAAAAATGTTTAGCGAATAGATATTTTTCACCAACGTCATTATGTAAAATGTGAGAGTGTGCATTCAATTTTCCGATTGTAGAGAACAAAATAGTATTACTGTTTTTAAAAAATGTTCGGTCTTTAACCCAATAAAATGTTTACAGTATTTTTTTTTATGATTAACAGAGGCTGAGGGTCTTTTCTCCCCAGCCCCTGGGACAAGATACTAGCACTTTACCTCTGTAAAAATGTCCTTCAGACACTCTTAGTAGATGATAATCAACTCTGTTTCCTAAGCAATAGTGTAGTGGGACAGGATCTCATGGGAACAACGTTGCTTTTTCCAAAGAGCCTATCTATGATTGTTCCTACACTGAAAAATTTGAAAGGGCAAATAATCAGCGCATGTTTGATCTGTAACCATTATCCAACTCTTCCCACCTAGTCCTAAATCAAAAGGAGCCTTCTTCCTTGAAATTATCCAATAATCTAGACTTAAAAAACTTATTAGGGTTAGGAAGAAGAACCTCTTCTGCTAATCATTTCAATAACAATAACAAAATTGATCAAGTGATTGGGCTAAATAAAATATTAATACCCTGTAACTAATGTTCTAGACAGTGGAGATCTCAAAGAAGTTCACATCTCTCCACTACTTATACTCAGATTACATCATCCGTCAGATGGAGGAGTGTGTGAGAACTGGAGTTCCAGTTAATGCTCCTATCTGGTGGGTGGCTCCAGAAGATCACACTGCTCACACCGTGTGGTCAGGTCAGATGAACTATTTTATGAACAAGGTTTAGCAGATTATAGTCCTGGCCACTCTAACTTGAGGCAGCCCGAGGCCGCACGCCGTATATCTGGTGCTGCCTTGGGCTGCCTCAAGTTAGAGTGGCGAGGACTATAGATTAGTTTTATACAACGCTAGTAGTGTATTTTTCAAAATGAGAAAAGGGTGAGAATGAGATGAGGTTTGTTACTGACTAAGATCAGCTATGAAGTCTAAAAAAAATTTAACTTTGAGTATGTTCAATGAGTGGTTATAGCCACTATCAGCTGTTACTATTTAAACCATGACAAAAATCAGCTTTCAGATGGTTTTTTTTAAAAGAGGGCCATAGGCACAGTGTAGTGCATGGGATTGCATCACAGCTGAAACAGCTTATTGTGCACCTTTCTGGTGGTCATGGGATTAGTGTGGCGTTTAATCCTTGAATCAATGATTTTTTAGCTTTAATAGATCATAAATCAGAATTACATGTAATTCCACACCATAAAAAGCAATATTGGATTTTTAAAAGATCCTTCAACTCCATCAACAACTATACAGTCATCTACAAACCTCTTCTACAAGAATAATAAATAAAAATTCTAAGAGCAAAAAGTTGTAAATGAAATTTTTTTTAGAGTTCATGCTAGGAGATATATTGGTTGCACCAGTGGTGGAGAAGGGAGCTAGACACCGAGATATCTATCTTCCACGAGGTAGGTGGCGAGACGAAGTTGATCCCAATCACAAGATATACTCCGGTGAGATGTGGCTGCGCAACTACTCTGCACCACTGGACACATTACCATTCTTCACTCTTATTGGAAGTTCTGGAGAATTCTAGTCAATTATTCAAACGGTTTTACCATTCAATCATTCCACTCTTGTTGTGGCTTGTTTAATATTTTAATTTAAGTAGGTTTATAAACAGTGTACCTATTCTTCTTCTAAATAAATTAGCATTAAAACAGGAATCAAAACAAAACTAACACTTTTTTTGCTCCTATTCCAAGACTGTTTCCCAGTTCCTCATAATAGACATACCAATTTAGTAAAATGGTGCAGGTGGGTGCGTTTTAAATAACCATTTACAACTGCTACTATTTACAACTAGGCGCACCTATCGGTGTTTATAGCTTAATCATGTCTTATATAAACCATAGACCAGACCTCTTGTGGATTGAGTCTAATCCAAATCTAAATCCAAATATATTAGACGATTATCTCTTGATATCTATATATCTAATTCCGTAAGCCCAACATTTTACAATGAAATTGTGAGCGAACCGGAGGGCGTAGAAAGTTGGGAGGGGTCTCATTTTAAAGGTCTGAGCATGAAATTTTGGGGAAAATTATTCATTTTTCTTAATTATGCACCAAAAGGTTGTGACGGAATAAATAATTCACATTTAAATAACATGGGAATCTAGGTCATGTCTGCTTTGTTTACATTAAAACATGTGGTTTAACTTTATTTAAAGCATATGGTAATATGTAATATGCACAGTAATATGTATACTAACCCTTAAGAGAGGTTGAACATACCAATTGACTATATAAATTTAATTGCACGATTTGGAATGCCACCACACAAATTAGTTTTAAAAGTTGGTTCAATAGTGATGCTCATTAGAAATATGAAGCTAGGATCTGGATTAGTTAATAGAGTACGATTGGTTGTGTTAGGTGTTACTGGAAAAAGTGTTAAGTTAGTAGTAATTACTGGAGTAGGCAAAGGGAACATATTTTCCATGCCAAAAATAAAACTAATATCCACAGATCCTAATATGCCGTTTAAGTTAACAAGGGAAATTTTCACAAAAATTGCCATTTATTTGAAAAATTTATCTCCATGTAGCCTATTTTATCTAAGTGAATTTGTCTATTCAAAGAAATTTATATACATTTATTTAATAGTCATGAAGATTATCATTGAAAATTGTCCTTAGTTGTATTATGATTAGAAAGTTTATATTATAACACACCATATGAAAAATCCTTTGTAATTTTTATTTTTGACAGAGCAGACCTCAAAATGCATTATGCAGGTATGTTATAACTATTATACATATATTATAATATAACTTACAATAATGTTAAACGATAATCAAAGTAGGGTAACCCATGGGACTAATAATTTGTACAAAATAATTACTACAATATATACATAGGGGCTACCGCCCCTACAAGCCACTAGTAAACTGTATAAGTGTAAATATATTAATTATTATAAGGCTTATTTGACGTATTTTTGTGCTTTTAGGAAAATATTTTTTGCCAAATTCCATGAAAACCTTTACTTTACAAAATATTTGCAGTACAGGTAAGATCTTGTACATTTCATGTAAATTACAGCGATATCTTATAAGCCAAGACATAGAATAACTGAATTTTTTTCTCTTGCCATACCGGTACTTACAGTTTTCTCCAATTAAACAATGTTAAGTTGATTTTTTTTTAACATAGAGAACTACAATAAAGTTCAGTTTGGAGAAAAAAAATATCTCACAAATTTTGCGGTCCCCGACAAGAGGTACCTTTTTTATGAGGTCCCTTTTCTGAAATGTGATTTTTACGACACTGATAAAACAATTAAATGAAAACTACCGTGAGTTAAGTCAAATACACCCGCCGCAGCAAACCTACAGACTAAGCTAATTTCCATTTGCCTGATTGGATTTACACTAAAATGTCTCCTTAAAAATATCACATTCCTTATTTAAATAGAACCAGTTTAACACATACTTAGGTTTGCTGCAACAGGGAGGGAAAAAGTGTTTTTTTTGTATGTAAAATGTGAATAGTTAGTAAGAAATAAAAACATTTTCCAAATTTGGGCAAAACATGTTAATAAACAAGCAAACTACAACAATTCAGTTTCAATTTCAATTTTCAATTTCTTTATTCATTGAGAAGTATACATAATACAGCATTTGAATAGTGTCAAAGCATGGTGGAAGGAAAAAACATAGGTGTGCTATTCCCACATATTCTGACGTCACTCGGATTGCAAACAAAAGATCACCTGATTGTAACTGTCAAATTATTATGTATTTGTTTCGATTTGATTGTTATTGTTTTTATAATAATAAAAACAATAACAACCAAATCAAAACAAAAACATATACTAATTTGACAGTTACAATCAGGTGATCTTTTGTTTGCAATCCGAGTGACGTCAGAATATGTGGGAATAGCACACCTATGTTTTTTCCTTCCACCATGGTGTCAAAGATTACAATTATTAAAATATAAAATACAGATTAAAAATAAATCTTAAATTAAAAAATACATCTCCCCATACAGATGCCTTCTTAATATCTAGTATTCTTGAGGGAGGTGGAAAAATTCTTCTTGAGAATAAATTGCCATGTTTATTAAGAAATTTTTTAGTTTTGTTTTAAACTTTTTTGGATCTTTTTCATTTCTAATTCCTCCGGGGATATGTTTAAAAAAACTTTTAAACAAAGCAAATGATGGCTTTTTTTCATAAAACTTTAATCTGTGCCTATTTTGCAAAATCTGATTTTTTTTCTCGTTTCATATTGGTGAACCGGTAGATTGGATACATCTGATGAGGTTTTATTTTTAAAAATTAAAATTGAATCATAAATATACTGCCCATAAACAGTTAGTATGTTTAGCTGTTTAAAGTGCTCTTTTGCCGAGACATCAGAATTTAGTCTGAGCATTACTCTCACTGCTCTTTTTTGATGTTTTAATATTTTATCTAGATTGATTTGAGTTGTTGCTCCATATAGACAGATACCAAAGGAAATATGTGAATGGATATATGCAAAGTAAATGTTTTTCAAAGTTTTGACATCACAGTACACAGACATTTTTGAAAGGGCAAAAATTCCAGAGTTGATTTTTGAAATTATTTTTTTTTGTATGATCATTCCAATTCAAATTTTGATCTATTGTTAGACCCAAAAAGTTTGTGCTGGTCTTTTGCTCAATAAGTTGCGAGTCATACATTATTATTGGGTGATTGGAATTTTTATTTTGTGGTGTTTTAAATGTGATAAAATTAGTTTTTTTGCTATTTAATTTTAGGTTTTGGCACACCAGATAACTGCCCAAATTTCCAAGTTTTAGAAAAGCAGAAATTTCCGTTTGTTCCAGTGTAGGAGAGGAAATAATTAAATTAGCATCGTCAGCATACAGGCACAATTCACTTCTAGGTCTACATACTAGGACACTGCTTATGTCCTTTAAATAGCACAAAAATAGCAATGGTCCTAGAATAGACCCTTGAGGCACTCCATATTTTATTGTTTTAATTTCTGAGGCAGTTTGAATAATTTTATTATTTTTTAATTGAGTAATTTCAACATATTGTGTTCTATTACTCAGATAGGAATTAAACCATTGCAATGCATTTTTAGTTATTCCAAGCAATTTCAATTTATTCAATAATATTGGATGTTTTACACTATCAAAAGCTTTAGATAGATCCATGAATATGCCAATTGTTGTTTCACCTCTATCAACCGATTCAATAACTGACTCTAAAAATGATACTGCTGCAGTGACTACCGACCTTCCAGGTCTAAAACCATGCTGGTAATCATCAAGTAAGTTAAACTTTTCAAGATAATCACTCAACTGATTGTAAACAATTTTTTCATAAATTTTGGAAACAGTTGGAAGAAGTGAAATGGGTCTGTAGTTTATTACATCTGTCTCATCGTCTTTTTTATGCAGAGGGATAATTTTTGCCTTTTTTAATTGATCTGGAAACAAACCAGAAATGAAGGAAGAGTTTATCAGGTGAGCCAAAACTTTACTGATATTATGACCTACTTTCTTAAGTAAATTAATAGGTACATCATCATGCCCGCTAGACTTTTTGTTCTTTAGCGATTTCAATACGTTTTCCACCTCCTTCTCACAAACACTCTTAAAACTAAACTTAGGTTTCAGAAAGACATCTTGTTGAAAACTGGATGGGATTTCATATGTTACATTTGAATCCCATTGGCTGTTATTAGGATCTAGATCTTCCACCACATTTAAAAAATATTCATTGAAGATATTTGAAATTAATGGGATCCTCAACAAGATGCGTGCCTCTTAACAGTTTTATTTTATTAAGGCGTTTTTGTTTTTTATTTCCAACTTCCGAGTTAATAATGTCCCATACAGTTTTTTGGTTATTAGAAGAATTATTAATTTTTTTTGCAAAATAGTTAGATTTGGTTTGATTCAATATTTTCTTAAAGTCTTTTACTTCTGTTTTGAAAATATCCTTGTTTTTTGTTGTTTCTGATTTCCTTGCTGATTTCTATGAGTCTGTGATGTTTGATTTTTATTTCTTCTGTAAGCCAATTATTTTTTTTATTTTTTTTTGTTATTAAAGTTTTTGGAAAAGCCAATTCAAAGTAATAACTAAATGTTTTTTGGAAGATGTCAAATTTATTTTCTACAGGAGCTAAATAAACATCAAGCCATTTTTCATCTTTTATAAGTTTAACAAAATATTCTATGTTTTCACAAGAAAACTTACGAATTTCTTGCTTAATAATTGGCGGTTTGTAATGCTTTTCTAAGTTGGGAATTTTAATTTTTAAGATTTGCCCATCATGATCTGATAAACATGTTATTATGCCTGTAATCGTCATATCACAAGATTTTGATGCATTTACAAGAAAGTTGTCAATGGCTGTTTTTGTGTTATTTGTTACTTTAGTTGGAAAATTGACCCGAAGACTGTTTTGAGTTTTTCCTAAATAGTTTTAAATGTATTTTTGATTTCTGTTTTCCTCTAAAGAAAAAAAGAATCTCACAGCCTAAAACTAAATTGCACGCTACACCTAGCAAGATTGATTGGTATAATGAGGATTTAGCTCATCTGAAGAACTGGATCATGCTGGTCCATGAGCAGTCCACGAGTCAGCCTGAGTTACTGCCCTTGGTAAGAAGTCTGCGCAGGGAGTATCGCCACGGTATTAAAAGCGCAA